ATAAATATTTTTTCTGAAATATGTGTGTGTCAATCAACAAGACGACAAAAACGTTTCTGCAACATTCAGGAAACGTTCAGTTAGACGTGGACAGAGGGAAGACTTACCTTCTCCGCATGGTTAATGCTGCAATGAACCTGTTCCTCTTTGTGGCTGTCTCAATCACAAGCTAACCTTGTGGGACAGACGGTAGCTACACGAGGCAACTGACGAGAGATTACATCACAATAGCTCCGGGACAGACAAGATTGTGTTGTTACATGCCAACAAGAAGCCTAATCGTTACTATATGGCAGCAAGAGCATATTCAAGTGGCGTTGGAGTTCCCTTTGATAACACCACAACCACAGCTATTATTCAGTACAGGGGAAATATGACACGTCATCGTCTCCTTCAATGCCCGATCTTCCTTACTACAACGACACAGACGCAGCTTTAGATTCTACAGCAGCATTAGAGGCCTGCCTGAGAAATTTCCCACCTGATCCCAGTGAATTGCTCCACGAAACATAGTAACCACACTCTCTGTAAACACATTTCCGTGCCGGAAGGGCCTGACCTGTCAGGGACCAACGGGACCCAATTGGCCTCAAGCATGAACAACATAAGTTTGAAAACCCGAGTATTGACATACTTGAAGCTTACTACAACCACGTAAATGGGGTTTTCGGAACGCGATTTCCCACATTTCCGCCATTCATGTTCAACTTCACGGCAGATTATTTGCCGATGAGTCTGGAGATACCGAGAAAAGGGACGGAGGTGAAGGTTCTGAGGTTTGGTGCAAACAGTAGAAGTTGTGTTTCAAGGCACCAACTTGGTGGCAGGGATCGACCATCCAATGCATCTTCATGGATTTAGTTTCTATGTTGTCGGATACGGGAAAGGGAATTTCAACGAAAAAATGCACCCCAGGGATTTCAATCTGTTTGATCCTCCGCTCGTCAACACCGTGGCTGTACCCAAAAATGGCTGGGCCGCCATCAGGTTCGAGGCTGCCAATCCAGGTACTGTCGCAAATTTTTATTTTTGTCCGTTAATTTTCCCCCCTATATTGTCTAATTAATTAATTTTTTTAAACAAGAATATGTTATTTTTGTTTCTAAAAATTACAAAATATCTGAGATATACAAATAAAATAATACCCAGACCAATATATTGAATAAATTTTACAAAACTCATAAGAGATTCATGTAATGACTTTTTTTAATTTTAAAAAAATAGAGATAAATAGAATTTCAATACATGAAAATTGTATACTTTAATCAAAAATAAAATTAACTAATAAAACAAATTGAAATATGCCCCAAATAATAAGAGAGTTAAGTCTGGAGAGTCAAAGAGGGCTGACACAAGTGGACCCCACTAAAGTCCCATCCGCTCGTTACTTTATCATTGTCTGCTGGTTCTCCACCGGGGAAACGTTCACATGTTGATCTCAAGTGCAAACTAAAACATGTTTTTCCCCTTGCCTTTGTACTAAAATAAGGTAAATATTTAATTTGCTGATGTATTATGTACGTACGAATTGTAGGAGTATGGTTACTACACTGCCATCTAGAGCGGCATATTTCATGGGGAATGGAGACTGTCTTCATTGTGAGGAATGGCTTAAGGTCCAATCAAACTCTGCCTCCTCCACCTCCTGACATGCCACCCTGTTGAAGCAAGATTCTGAATTTCTCCATTTGGGATTATGAGAAAGCCTAATATGCATCTACTGTGTTTTCTAATTACTCTCTTTGTTCAATCCTTGTGAGTCTTCCTATTTATAATATGCATGTACTGTGTTTTCTAATAACTCTCTATAATTCGTTCAATCCTTGTAAGTCTTCCGGTTTCAAGATGTACTGTATTTTCAGTTCTCTGTTTATTTTTTTGATAAACTTTTTGTCGACTCTTTTCCTATCATATAAAGGAAGAAAAAGTTGCTGAATGTCTTGATTACACGAAGAAAGCTAAGTTAGCTACTAAAACAATGGACAGGCTCATGGAATAATTATCAATATCAATATAAACTACCACCAAAAGTTTCATTATTTATATGTTCATAAGATGCATCATCACGTGCACATGACAAATTAGAATGTGCTTAGAGTTGCATAAAAGATAGATTAGATATGATTTCAACTTAACTCAGAGTCTAGTTTTTTTTTTTTTCATAAAAATGATTGAGTTAGGCAGCTCATGGTCTAATTTGATCTTGTAATAACCCAAAGTTGAACAAGGCTAGACTAGTTTAATAGGATTAGGAGACTGATCCCGATCTCGTCCAGCATTTCACTTTGTTTATTTCAACTTAATAAATTTATCATAGTCATATAAAATTTATTTCAACCTAAAAAACTCAATTACATAATAAAATTACTTATAGTCATATAAAATTTATCATAAGAATAACAATTACAAATCTACAACAATTTCCAACACCAACAAAAAGCATTTCAATTATAACATAAAGGATTCAAATTAAATAACATTTAACATATCTAAAACCCATTACACTAAGTTAATAACAAATTTTGCTAATAAAAAAAGAAGATTGAAGTTGCTCAATGCTGAAATTTTGCTCAATATCCATGACTTTATAAGTATAAAACACAAAAATTACTAATTATTATTACAAATTAACTTATTATAATAATTAATCAATTATAATTATAGTAAATAAATTTATAGAACTGGACCAGACTAAGTAATCTAGATACTCGATCTCTTGCCTAATTCAACCCAAAAAAAAAGTCTGATTTTTTTTGGTCTTGAAAGATCAAATTTGATCTAAATTAGATTGTCTCAGGTTAGATTGAACTGAATTAAACGACTTTTTTATAGCTTCATTATATACTCAACAATCCAAATCAAATGTCATCAACGCTCACTGGTGTGAGGTGCAGGTTGTAACCAGATAAGATGACCAATTCCCACCAATTGCAATAATGGTAATCAACTTTGTAGTTATAATTAATTATTAAATTAGAGTACAATATGCCTAAATATCATATAGAAAAGGTGATATGTCCCCCAAAGTTTTGAACAGTGCGTCAATGAGGAGTGTACGTTTGTGGTAGTCCTAATAAAGTGATCCACTGTGACCGAGAAGGTAGATGATTGTTAATCACGAGGGACCCATATTTTTAAAAGCAAAGCTAATAACTAGTTCCGTGTCTCACTTCACCTGTACTACTCTGCTGGAACTTATCCCAATCTTGACAATGAAAATGAAGGCATGGTCTCGTTTCCAGACGAAATTAAACACGGCACTCTAAATATGGCAATAAAATGCATTTATAGGATTTGGTGTTTGATAGATTAAACTATAACTTGTACCTGGACGGTTGGGTTTGAGAGCCCTGAAGCTGATGCCCAGTTCTGCTCTTGCACCACACCTCAGAGCCTTAACCTGTGTCCCTCCGAAATGAGCCAACATTAGAAGGAAACCTTTTGAGATAAGAAAGAAAAGGAGCTTGTTAATTATCCCCGTTTCACTAAAGCCAACACCACTTGAGCTTAACTTATAGCATCCTGTACGTCCTTCGTGCATCAAGCGTGAAGTACCCAAATCTATTGTACTGCATTCTTCATTAGGGAAAATGACACACAAGAACCTAAAAAAACAAAATTACATTGAAGAACCCCCAGTTTACGAATTTACAGAAAAGGATCAAATTTTAAAGGAAAACAAACAGACAAAAATACCCTTATATATTTGGCACATAGTATAGTTACAGTTGGCAAAATAATGCTTTTTCCACGGGAAGCCATATTGGTCAAATCAAACTTCGCCTCCTTCACCGTGGGGCATGCTACCATCTTGAAGCTTCTTTCCGAATCACGCACTGTTTTCAATTTAATTTGCACAACTCAAAGCCGAACTATTTTCCTGATATATTTAGATGCAAATATTAATCCAACTTAATATATGACTATATGTTTTGCAGTCAGTTCGCCTTCACCCCGTTTGATCTGTTTGTATTTCTTTCTGTTCTTTTTTTTTTTCCCCTGGTTCTGTAACCATCTGTTCATGTAGTCTCGTACACACAAAAGAGAGGAAAACTTGCTCGGGATCGGACAAGATAACTCTAAGTAATTAGACCACTTGTACGGCTCACTGGGAAACTTCGTCGGGCTCTCGTTATGATGATTATCAAGTCTAATTAAAAACCCATTAATCATACAAATCTAAGGAAAAAAAAAAAACCCTCCGAAATGCAACATGGATAGGCTCCAAATCAAATATAATCATTATCCAAAACCAATCCGTTGTTGTCTTGTAGTTATATCCCTCATAGCTAGCTTGCTCACAACTAGAAAATAGCATTTATATAATGCCTTATATTAAATGATTATATGCAAAACCGTTTAATAAAAGGAGAAGGGATTTAAAAAACTAATTATTAAGCAATTAAACTGATTATGTTAGCAATGTCACTATAGGTCATGTCATATCATTAAGTGATCAGTTTTTTTTTTTTTATCCATTATGTGATCGTAATGCCTAGAACAAGCAGACAATGTCAACGATTATGGGTACGGTCTCATAAAATTCACAGAGGACATAATCCAACGTGTTTCCACTAGGACTCTTCTAGGCAATGTGTATATGTATAATCAACATCTTCATCATTATATTATTTTTATTAATAAACATGACTTTAATTTGTTGCTGCTGTTACTGCATACAATAATATGAGGACGCATATTGTGACATGTATACTTATGCTTTAATGAGAGAAGCCCTTGAAGAATTGGCACATAGTATTTTTCAAGCATGATTGACCTTTAACAAACAACTATGATAGTAAAAAAATAAATGTGATATAAGTATATTTAAAGTTCACATAGATGATATACATAGATAAAATTAGCCAATTTTTGAGACTTGAATCTTTATATTTTAGTTGTTATCTAATTGGCTTAAATCAAGAAAGTTTAAACTATGTATAACTTTTGTGTACGAATTCATTGTATATTCGCGCACGTCTGTGTTGAGATTTGAATGTTTATATTTTAGCTGTTATCTAAAGCAAGTTCAAATTATATACAACTTTTGTGTACGAATTTATTGTCCGTTTGTGTGTGTGCCCGGGGGGGGGGGATAGAATATGTTTTTGGGTGTTGGAATATAGTTATATAACATACAATTAGAAATGCAATCTCTATTTAAAAAAAAATAGTTACAATATTCAATAGTTATGAAGAAAAACCGTTGAGTATTATAACCAATTCTACAACAAACCGACATAACAAGATTGTAACAAACAAATATTTTATATTTTAAACTATTTAATGATTTTGAGGTCAAAATTGTTACAACTGAGTCAAAAACTCAAGGGCTGAGCTATAACAAATTAAAATTTAAAGATTAAGTTATAATTAAGTTAAAATTATAAAAATTAAATGGCTATTTTATACACACACACTCCATCCGTTTAAAAATATAAAATATTTTTTAAAAGTTGAATGTTAAAAAATGTAAGATATTTTTAATCTTTTAAGATGTAATCATTACTATTTTTCAAAAGTGTTCCTATTGATGGATGATTTTATATTTATTGTAAAATATTTAATAGAAGTAAATATAAAAAGATAAAATTAATTTAAAAATAAATAACTATTTTATTAAAAATAAAATTTAATTAAAAATATTTTATACTTTAAACAAGAGGGGAGTATATGTTAGTAGTGGCTGCTGCAAGATCGTACAGTCTTCATTTCTTTGTCGGACTAAAATCTTAATTCGTTTTGTCCGGACATGCCGACACATGTTCAGTATAAATCTAGCTTTCGGAAGAGACTTGCTCATGGAAAATGGCCGAAATTCGAAACAAGTCCGGCGAGGCGGAGTCTGACAACCCGTTAGAGATTTTCAGGATCGGACATGTAGTAAATGAATTGGCCAAAAAAAAAAAAAAGACATGGAGTAAATGAATGTGAAAAGCGTACGTGTTCATGAGTTACGCACTGACGAGTTATAAGATATCTTTATTAAACAACATGATTTTGCCTTCAGAAAAAATTTAATCGCCTGAATAATTATCCTTAAATATCACCAGATTGATTATTAATTAATCACCACTTACAATCATAAATAACCTCTCATTTTCTCAGTACTGTCGTGCATGTAAAAGGAAGCCAGCGATTATTAAAGGGTTATAAAATCTAAGAGTTTTTCATCCAACGAGTTTGTGCGCGCGCGTAAGGGAGAGGGAGAGATCCAACTTATCACAATTCATCCATATTTAGTTTAATATTTAATATAAAGACCCATAACTCAAATAATTACTTGTCTCTATAATTAACTAATGCTAATCCTGATCATTAATTTATAAAATTATTCCAGGGTTAATATCCCTAAAAAAAAGTGAGATCGATAAAGAAAACATACATATTTGATAGTATTAGCTAACAAAAATAAATCATGTGAGACTTGAAAGAAAAATCTTACCTTCACAATGTTCCCCGCGTTTTCCTCATCGGATCTTTTTACCTTATAATTTATTCTTAATTATGCCTCTTGATCAATGACATAAAGGAAATGTCTATAGATAATTCGAAAGAATTAGTTCCTGTAATTCTAATCCTTTCTTTAATCATGCCTCGCTCGTATTTAATTCTCCTCATTTCTTTAATTTAGCTTTATCTTTTACAACTATTTTACTAATAAAATCTAAATGAAAATACTATACTCCTTGTTTTTATATTATGGATAATATATACTCCTTCCATTCAATAATGTAAATTATTTTTTGAAGAGTTGAATATTAAAAAATGTAATATATTTTTAGTCTTTTGAGAAGCAATCATTGTCCTTTTTTTAAAAGTGGCCCCCATTAATAATGACTTTATATTTGTTGTAGGGTGTTTAATAAGGATAAATATAAAAAGATAGAGTTAGTTGAAAAGTAGGTAACTATTTTATTGAGAGGTGATATTCGATTAAAAATGCCTTATATTTTTAAAGAAGAGAGTGTATATATATATATATATATATATTTACATCTAGATTTTCGTATACAATATTACACCCGGGGTATATATATCACAGAATAAAGTGAGAATTGAAATGTTCACCCAAAAATAAAAGAACGTGAGGTACCAATTACATGAATGATCATAAGTAGTGGCTTTTCCTTCCTTTTTTGTTCCATTTTTTTTATATAAATGGTGGTTATGAAAACAACAGCACGAAGATGAGAATCGAGAAAGAAATGTCACGAAAACATTTAAAAGAAAAACGAACAAAAGATGTTAAATCAAATGTTTCTTTTCAGCTAAGCGCTAGTCTTCTTCCGATCCATTAATCCTTCTATATTTAAATTCGTCGTCTTTCAATGGCAGACAAAGATTGTTTGTTGAGTTTTATGAGGTCATATATTAGGCAATGAGATGGATTTGTTGTTTTCCAGAATATGTTTATGAGTTTCCATCATTGTTCTACGTGTCATCTCCCTTAAATGGTGTACTATATCCTATCTTTAATTTTAGATAAAGTTTGCAAACTTTTATTAGTTCTACATATAAGATAAAGTTAGAATAATCAATTTTACCTCTTGTTTATTTATTTTTATTTGAATTCCTACACAATAATTTATTACGGTCATCAATAACAAAGAAGAGTACAATTAGAAAGTTATAATTTGTTTTTTAACAATCTAAAGATTATAACCAATCTTTCTTAATAAGCATCAACTTTGTTAATTTCGTCTTATATTATGACCTAGAGTATTATATTCTAGTTCATCAATTTAAGGTTCATTTTTATTTAGTAAAGTAACAGTCAAATAAAATATATAACATTCATTTCAGCGATTTAAAGCTCATTTTTATTTGGTAAAGTAACAGTTAAATAAAAATATATAACATTCATTTCAACGATTTAAAGTTTATTTTTATTTAGTAAAGTAACAGTTAAGTTAAAATGTATAACACTTTCAAAACAGAAAAAAAAATTAAAAACTTTGAAAACTTTTAAGATTGGATTGGACATTAATTCTAAAGAGAAACACTTAGGTAAACCAAATGTACCACATTATTTACAGTCTATTTAATTAAAATACTCTAAATAATCTAAATAAAATCTTGTGATATTTTTTAAATTAATTTTATTTTTATAACAAAATGCACATTTAGTTTCTTGCATTTTCTCTTTCTACTATCAAAATTATTAATATCAAAATTAATTTATATTTAATGTCATTTTTTATTGGATAAATTATAAATGGTATGGTGTGCACCAGTCTACCTAAATATTTCTTTAATTTTGAATAATGAATGGGTGACACCATATCCAATTGAATATTTTCTGTCAATCACATATCATTAAATATCGTTAGCGAATTATATGAAGCAGTGGCTAACAAAACGTTTTCTATTTTGTTTAGAACTTTTCTTTTTGGCAGCTGGCAGTTGGCATTTATAAATTGGAAAACTGATTCGGCTAGCAATTTTTATTACGTTTTTCAATTCTTTGTCTTTTTTTTTTTATCGGAGCAAAGAAAGTTTTTTTAAGTGGTTAGCTACATGGAGCAACTTAACAAGCAAAGTAATATAATATATAATAGATATATGGCGCATGGAACCTTTTATTTATACAAATGCAGATGAATTTCAATGTCAG